GTCGAAGGAGCATGCGAAGTCGAAAGGTATCCCCCTTGAGGGGGTCAAGGGTTGCGCCATGCATTAAATGCGAATAATGCAAAGGGGCCAAAATGCATGGACCTCAATAAACGAAGGGTCCAACATGAATAGGCTATGGCCGTGCATAGGCTATGAGCCTGTGGCGGCGGCGGCGCGATGCGCGCGCGCGCACGCTCAGGACACGCTATGGCAAGGAGCCAATCTGGCGTGACAGTACGGATCGTACGCTCCGGCGAAGTGGAGGTAGTCCTTAACCAATGCAGGCGAGTCCCCCTCTTTCTCGTCTTCGGCTTCTCGTAGAACCCGAAGTCCATGAGCTGGGTGACGACAGCCTCGCACACCGCGAACAAAATACCCATCCACTTCACCCAGGACTTCAGATTGGATCGGGAGCGGTCCAGGCCGATGATGTGCTTGAAGGACTCTCCGTCGAGTTCGCAAAGGAGCACGACGACTGCATCCCAGGAGACGGGCAGGTGCTTCATCGACAGAACGTCCCGGGACGTCGATGTCTGGCACAACGAGCTCAGGCTGCTCAAGCATGACCCATCTTTGCCAGATGGGCTCCCAGAACCCGCGCTTCTCCTTTGACAGGTTGGCGCAGTGCACCCTCTTCAACGCCCACACAGACCGGGCGGACCCGAGTTCGCCGACTTTCTCCGCAGGGAGGCTCAAGGTCGACTTGTCCATGAGCAGCAGGCTGTAGAGCACCAAGAAATAGTAAGAAGTCTTTTCAATCGCGTCTACACGTCAGATTTGACATAACATTCTTTCCTTCAGAAGGACAAATCACAACAGTTTTTCCATGACACTCCGTACATCAAACAAGAGTAGACAAAAGAATTATACTTGCGAGCTCATTATTCACTGGCACCGGGATCCCGAACTCCGCGGAACTCCACGGAAAGTAACAGCAAGAAAAATAAAAAGCGAGTTGGGTCCCCACCCGAGGCTGGGCTTCAGACCCACAGCAAACACAAGCCCGGGGTAGTTCACCCCTTGCTCTTTGAGCTCTGCTCGCAGCTTAGTCCACTTCCCAGTGTGTTCGCCGTACAACGTGAGCATCTGCATCGGCAAATATGTATCACACTCAGCATGTGACACCTTGACAGCAATCAAGTACAGGAAAATAAACCACGACAAAGAGACAGACCCAAAAATAAGAACAATTCCGCGCATACAGAACATCCGTCCTACAAGGCTTCTCTCTGTTTACCCTATGGGAACTCAGAGGAGGAAAACAACTAGGCGTCACAGCCTGCCTGCGACACTCCAGGAGACAGGGGATATGCTTTAAATTGTGCAACCGTCTACAGGCTATCTATCTCCTAACGTTATTGAAGTCCCAAAGGTTGAAGAAGCACAGCATTGCATCCTGCCTGCGACACTCTCTGATATAAAAATTCGAAAGGTTGAAGAAGCAAAACATCGCATCCTGCCTGCGACACTCTCTGAGATAGAATTCCAAAGGTTGAAGAAGCAAAGCATCGCATCCTGCCTGCGACACTCTCTGAGATAAAATTCCAAAGGTTGAAGAAGCAAAGCATCGCATTCTGCCTGCGACACTCTCAGTAAACTCACCGCTCCGCTGACGATCTTCTCCATCTCTTCTTCGGACTTGTCGTTCATTTGGTAGCAGGCATAAACCTCCTGCGCCACAGTCTTCTTGGAGTTGAACTCGATGTTGTTGTCGTTTATCTGCCGGGACATAGCCGCGACGTCGTCCATGTTGTCAGCGGTGAGGCCGACCAAGAACGTTTGGAAGAAGATGTCCTTAGTAGTCTTTCCCGTGTCAGCCTTGTCCTTGGTACGACCCCGTTTGTATCCCTCCAGCCTGAAGAGTAATGGAATCAAATCAACGACTAATTGTGTAGCATATTTAGCACAGCGTACAGCCCGATGACCTTTGGTACGAAGCAACGGAGTCAGCCCTGCCGAGTCGCTGGTTTTATTGTCAGAACGTATGGCAAAGAAAGATTCGCAACCAACAACATTCAGGATAGAATACCTGGCTAACTTTACCTCGGACCTTGTTAAGCTTCCTTTCTATAATTTGAGGCAATGTAATCAGTGAATGCAGTCAAAAAACAAAGGACATGCAACTTTAGCATATCGGGCGTTGACCACTACATTATTTCACAAGTGTGCTCACCTCGAGTTCCCATCCACAAGGAACAGCCACCTCCCCACCACGTTCGCCTTCAGACACTCCCCCTTCACCTTCACTCCCGCGTCCTCGCTCTTGCACATCTGCTCGACCGTCTTCTCAAACTTCTCTAGATCCGCCCGGTCTTCGACAGACATCGCCGCCTTGTCTTCTTCGGTGATCAGAACGTCTTTCCCAAACGGTCTGATCACTGCCGTCACGTCCCCCCTCTCCTTGATGTGGCCCTCTACCCAGATCCTCTCCCCCGTCCTGACCTGCGCAGGCGTTGTCATCCTTTCCGTGATCCGCACCGTTTTGGGCCGTCCGTTGTCGTCTACCTCAGGGTGCACTACACCGAACTTCTCTGCGTCGTTCCCGTTTTGCAGCATGCACATCGGGATGTCGAAGTGCAGCTTGCCCCTCCCATCCCAGTCCTTTGGATAGGCGGCGGTTGCTTCCATCAGAGACGTCATACGGCGCGCGACCTGATGCACGCTTACCAGGTCGGTGAGCTTGCGGAACTGCAAGGGTTAAGAAACGCAGTTAGGTGCGCGCATTGAACCAATCAGAACAGTAAATATTTCGGGAAAAGAAATATAGCATCACATGCTGGAGGCGATACTCTCGCAAGAGGACTAGCAAAGGATAACTCAGAGGCTTGATGAACATGACACTGGACATGGACTGCCAGCAACCTGTTCTGTACCAGGTGTCTGTTTTTAAACCAGCTAGCTCTGAAACGGGCGTGAACAGCTACAGATTCCTTACAAACGCCAGCAAGTCATGCCAACAATGTATCCTAGTATCACAGGCAGGATGCGACGCTGGAAGAACACAGAAAAGAAGAATGATGAATTTTAAAGCACTGACGAACGCACAGTTCATGCTGGCAATAACCCTAAGGAAACCCTTTTCCAAAATATCACAAAAACACGAGAACCTCAGTGGCCAATGGTATCACAGGCAGCATGCGGTGCTTCCGACTACAAACAGCCAGTATGCAGACTATATCTGAAAGTATAAGAAGGACATGACAACCTCAACAATCAAGAGCGTCACAGGCAGCATGCGACGTTCAGACAAAGACCATCCCTTTGTACCCCTTTGCAGTCCCCATCTCAAGTATCAGATGAGGTAGAGAACCACAGTAAGTCCACAGCATCTCATGCAGTTTGCGACGCTTCTACAATCAAGCAACCCAACAAGTCTTCCAAAATATTATCCAATCTATCAAACCTACCTCTTCAGCATTCAGGCCCTATGCCTCTTCACCCCCCTTCCCCTCCTTGAATTCCTGAGCCAGCTTCCTGATGTACTCCATCCTCTCAGGGTTGATCTTCCCTGACGGTCCGAAGAAATCTCCCGAGCCCACCGCCCCAGTTGGTGCCTCCTTCTCCCCTCCATCACCCGGCTCTGACGTGCCTGTTGCATCCCCCTTCCCTGACTTTCTCGTATTCTTTGCACCCCCCTTCTCTGTGGGCTTAGCAAGAGGTGTCTCTTTGGGTGGTGCCTTGTCATGCTCGGTACCCTTACCCTCCTCTTCGCTCATCTCTGCTGAAACTTCCCCACTCTTCTTCTCTTGCGCTGCGCTAACCTCGCTTCTCTTCTTCTCAATATCAACCGCGGAGGACTCAACCCCTTCAAGGCTTGACCGCCCTTGCAGCCCCTCCACCTGAACCTCAGGCGGTTCCTTGGTTACCCCTTCTCCGGTTCCCTCCGCCTCCCCCTTGTCTTCCTTCTTCCCTAACTCAGGGTCGTGCGCCTTTTGGGTCGCGCCCCTTACCGCACCTAAGGCCGACAGCTCACTGACCGCGGGCGGGTTTGTAGTCGCGGTTTTTCCAAGGTTTACCCCCGACACGTCACCGGCCGCCCCGCCCGGGCCCACTTCCGTCGGCGCGCTCGCGACTTCGAGCCGCGCGCCCGCTCCACTTTCCGAAACCTCCAGGCCAACCGGCTGATCTTCGGCGGCGATTCCGGCGGCCGCGCGGTCACCAGAACCGCCTTCTGCGGCAGCCGCCTCCGCTCGTTGCACGCCTACCCCACCCTCGAAATTTGACTCCGCTTCTGCCACCACCGAGGGCATTGCAGCAGGGTTAACTTCGGAGACTCCTTTCCCGCCTTCCGCATGAGCGGATTCCGCTTCTTCGTTGCCTCTATCCCCCCGCTTCAGCTTGGACCTGGGCTTCCTCGTTCCTAGCGGCAAGTCCTCAGGGTCAACCTGTGCAGCTTCCGGCTTTGGCTTCTTTGCACGCCCCATACTCGGTTCGCTTCGGTTATTCAAAACACTATCCGGGATAGAACTTCTTGGCCCTGGGCCGCTTTGCAGGTTCTTTCCAAACGGTGAAGTACGTGTCGAGACTGTCTCACTCTCTGCTGTGGTATTCTGAGAGTCCTGATCTGTTTTTTTTGAGCGAGTGATCCTAATTACAATCCCACTCCGAGAGGCCATACAACCACAGGCGTCGCAGGCAGCAGGTGACACTAGCTTAGCTAAACCCCAGATGAACGATCGCCTGCGAGCGTCGCACCCTGCATGCGACGTTCTAAGAAACTTTAAGAAGCTCACGAACGACAGCAAGAGAGAATCGTCCTAGGCAGGATGCGGCACTAACCTTCGAAGCCAGCTCTGCACAGAGGTTTCAGACAAAGGCGTCACATGCCGGGTGCGATGCTTTTATCTCTGATGCACTGAAAGCGGACCTGAGCTCGCATCTAGGCATTTGCTAGCAGCCCACAAGAAAGCATCGTTTTCATAAACGATACTTTGCTGAAACGGCCGTATTCTCCGGCGGCGCCCTGAAAACCAACTTCAAAAGTTGGGAAAAAGGACAAATGACGCTTTTCTGAAACCTTTGAAGCAGGACGCTAAATGTGACGCTAAAGTGGAGCAACTTTTGCGAGATCAATTTGTTATCTGTGACTGCTTTAGCGTCACACTTTACGGCTGCCTCGCGGCTTATATGATTTTCATACATTTGTTGTTTCCACCGGCAGCCGCAAAATCCAGTCGGGTGCTTGACTAATGATCTTCAGGTTGCGTATTTTCTAACCATATATTACTACATTATTTTACTGACATGCAAGTTGGCGCATGCACGTGTTTCAAGCGAACATGACCAATCAGAATGGCGCAAAAGGATAGGCACATCCTTACCAGCCAATCGGAGCATCTTAGGATGTTCGCGCGTCCAATCACATTCGAGCAGCCACGCAGGGGTGCTCGTGCTTGCTGCTGCGATCATGGGATTCCGCGAATGTCACAAACCCTCGTCGCCCATCTCGCTCATTCGTAGGTTTGTAGGTTCGACGATCGGGGCGCTTCTCGGCAGTTTCCGCACGTGTGCTGACGTCAGCACGCAATGGCATCAGATAAGTTGCAGCATCGCATGTCGCCTACGATACTGTGCTCAAAGAGCTGCTGTTAAGTGTGACCACCTGCGAAGTTGCTGTCAGACAGCTTGGATCGGAACTTTTGACGAAGCATTGCATGCTACATGCGATGCTACGAGATAGACGGTGCTTCAAACTACAGATTCATATGGTAAAGATGAGCCCCCTACAGTAAGTCACGTACTAGTAGTTACTGAACTATTCTTTGCCCGAATTGTGTGCAGCTCTCACCGCGTTCAAGCCGCCACGGCAAGGACTGACAGTTGGAAGTCGGCTTTCCGGGGAAGGGAAGCAGGCATCTTAGCAGGCCGATCACGACCAGCGTTCAGGTGAATGAACACATTAACACCTACTTTGAATCGAAAACTTATTGTTTATTGTTCAGGGGGTATTTGTTTTCGTTTCAGTTTGTTATCACGATTCCGGGTAGCAAAAATGCACTTCTTGCTTCCGTTTTAAAGGGCTCCGTATTGCTCATTGTCATCTTGATTCTTTTTACTCCTTTAATTGTTTCGTAAAAGGTCCTTGGCTATAAGGAACGATTCGACTTTGTCCGTTATTGCTTTAAGAGATGAAATGGAGAAAAGTTTTGAATGTAGATTCTAGTTTTTTTTGGTTGATTCAAATGAGAAATCTCGCTTTATCAAGCTGTTCAATTCGAAGGAGGAAAAGGGTGATGGGCTTGAATCCAGTTCCAACTTTATCAGCATTCACTTGTTGAAACTAACAAGCACGAGGATGCTACCAGGATTAAGGAGACATTTACCTTTTTACCTCATTCGTAGCAACTATGTTAAGCTATTATTGGCGCTGTGTACCGCAGGATCTTCTTGCTTCTGTTTTAAAGAGCTCCGTATTGCTCATTGTCATCTTGAATCATTCTACTCCATTATTTGTTTCGCAAAAGGTCCTTGGCTATATTAACTGAACGATTCGACTTCGTCCGTTATTGTTTTAAGGGTTAAAATGGAGATATGTTTTGAATGTATATTCTAGTTTTGGTTGGTTGATTAAAACGAGAAATCTCGCAAGACCAAACTTTGTATTCCGAAGGAAGAAAAGGATGTTGGGCTTGATACCGGTTCCTAGTTTATCAATCTTAAATTGTTGAAACTAGCTAGCACGCGGATGCTACCAGAATTACGGAAACATTTACCGGTTTACCTTGTGCCTAGCTGTTATGTTAAGCTAACTTTGGTGCTGTGCCAAGCAGGATCCGGAGAACATGGCGGAGCTCGTACCGGTGGTGCCTCGCCATCGAGGACGCATTCGGACTCCGAGTTGCCCCGCAATCCAACGGCGCACTCCAAGGAGATGCCAATGGTGGAGATCACCAGCGATAACGGCAAGGTGTACTCCACCATTTGCGACGGCGATGAGGCGATCGTCTTCGAGCGGACGCTAAAATCTAAATTTCACGAC